ATTAATTTTTTGAAAATTAAATAATGGGAATTTTTCATGTCAAACTTCTGAAAATCGAAAAAACCAAACAGGTCAATTTATTCTTTTTTGATTTTTTCTTGTTTTTATTAAATTCATTCGAAGTATATGTTCACTGATTCAGGTATCTGTTGGGTCCTTTGCAGTGTTTCAGCTTTTACTTTTAGATGGTTTCCACTGCAGGGTTGTGAGGAGCATTGGCTCAGTGGATATGCAGTCCTTTCAAAAACCACCAAATATCTTTTGAAACGTGGCCGCCTAGACTCGACAACGGCGGCTACGCCTTGTTTTCGACCCCGCTAAGTCAAAAAAAATTGGTTTCATCCATTTCTGAGCACGGCTTCATAGTGAACGACACTTAGCCAACGATGAATTTTAATGAATTTCGATTTTCTCAAAAATAACATTTCAAAAAGCGTTGTATCAAGAAACTGGGGGTTTCATCAGCCGTAATACCCTTATGGCAACAGTATGAGATAAAGTTGCAGTTCACGAAATCAATTTTTGGCATATTTTGGACAAAAAACAAAAACGAAATTTTGCATACTTTTTCTGGTTTGGGTTTTGAACAGAAATAACTTGTTAGGTGCTGCATATACAGGCAAACTTTCATTAGCTAAGTTGATCACCTAGTACTGGTCGAAACCAGAGGATAATTTTTGATACCACTGTTTGTTTCAAACAAAATTTTGAAACTCTTAATTTTTTTTCAAAAACAAAAAAAAATTTAAAATATGTTTTTTTTTGTTTAGTTTTATTCTTTCCAAGATTTCTGAAAAAAAAGTTAGAGAGCAAACATTAAATTAGAAAAATCAAAAACAAAGCTTAAGCAAAGATTCATCCACAATAATAAAAAAACTTATCAAACTAAATAATAAACCCCCAAACTGAAGCACTCTCGGTGGAAACAAAATTTTTTTTTGAGTTTTCAGAGATCTCTAAATTGCAGTTTGCGTTTTTTCGGCGCATAGCAAGCATTGATAGGCGGCGTCTCAGCTACTAAGTTTGGTGAAGTGGGACTTTGACTGCCGGAAGAAGAAGAAGCAGAAAAAGTTTGCTGCTGCTGATGTTGAGTGATTGAAAAAATATCCGGTTTTATTGGGGTTTTGGGCGTCTTCTGGTCCTCATCTTTTTTCTCTGTTGAATCTGGTGATTCAATCGACTCAATGTTCCAGTAGTTTTCTCGCTCTGCTAAATCTCTAATGGATCGTTCCTGATTTTCGTAAAAGGGGATCGATTGGCAATCGTAGTTAAACAGTATTTTTCTCGGTGAACGATCAAGGCAAGTAGGGTCTTGAATATCTGTGCGCTTCAGCGCAGGATACGATTCAGTCACACAACAACTCTCGTAGACCTGTTTTCTGCTTTGTATGAGGATACCAATTGGATCTAGCAAATAATGGGGTAACATCATATGGTTTTTAGTGACCCATTCATCGAATTCTCTGCTTCCTGGATCAAAATCGTTCAAAGGACTTGCGTTTCGATGACACATTTTCCATTCCTGTTGAACCACTACGATAGAATCTCTGGTATAAGTTTGGTACAATATAGATCTTTCAAGTGAAATAATTGAAATAATTTGCAGTGGAGTTGCCATCGTTGAAAATTTTGTTTTGTTTGATTTTGAGAGATTGAATGAAAATAGTGAGTAGATTTAGTTTGACGTACCACTTTTAGTTTTTTATTGCTGGTGGTCTAGTTTTAGCCAATTACCATAGATCGGGTTTTGTAAAATTTTAATATGTTTTCAGGGCTTTTGCAATTAAAGTAGAAATGTGAACGCTTTGAAAATCTATACTTCAAAGAAACAGCATGGCGCCTTTTTATGATACCCTAAGCACAAAATGACAGAAGTTTCACACTTCAAAGAGATAACAGGCATGCCGCCAGGGTAAAACCGTTGAGATTTATGAGCTAAAACGGGAATTTGCCAGACAGAATTGACATGTATAACTTAAACTCATAAATTTCCAACTGCAAACTAATTAAAAGTCCCCAATGAAGCTTAAGCTATACCGTAAAAGAAATCGCCCGAGTTAAGCTATTCACCGGCTAGTTAAATCATTCTTAAATTGTCTCTTGACTGATACGGTTGAATAAAATTACCGCTACCCAACTATGTACACGCTTGAAATTGATACTAACTTTTTTGATGACTTTCGTGATATTTCTTCATGAGAAAAACGTATAGTCAGAGTTGGAACAAAAACAATTGAAAAAACAGGTACCTATATTACACTAAAATTGTATAAAAAAACTGACGAAGAAGTGTTCAAAATGTATCAAGCAGTTACTTTGACGACGAAAGAATTTGATAGCTTAGCAGATAATTATTCAAAAGTAAAAAAAATGATCAAAGCAGCAACTGGTGAAAAGATTTCAACTTCCACAACAGGAAACGATAAACCTCAAAAACGACGATATAAATCAAAACGATCGGTTTACTCCAAAAAAGACTGTAATAGTGAAAACGGAGAGGATGATGAAGAAGATTATTCCAACAAAAAAAGTCGAGTGGCTTGAGTAAGTGGAAAAAAAACCCAGTTTCCTTTATTAATTATCAGAATGGTTGAAGCAATGTATGAACAATCGCCGGAATACTTTAAACAATTTCGGAAAAACTTTAAATTTTTTTTTCTGAACAATGAACCCGACGTCTCTGACCTTCCTTCTAATACGAACTTTGCATTTGCAGTCCATTCAAATCAGAACGAATTTTGTTCCCAATCTCCTGCCAATGGTCAGCCACATTACCACGTTCTTATCGAAGTTACAAAAGAATGCACTGAAGCAGTTATGAAGATGACCTTAAAATTTTTTATTGTGCCTTGCCTCCTTTCATCCTTTAAATGTTTGATTATGCGGTGCAGCAAATATCATCTATCAGGACCACTGATGGAAAAAATGAAATTGGCTGTTAACTACAATTCGACTAACAACCTTGACACCGCCGGAGTTTCTTTGCGAAAACGATTGCCACAGATTTGCTTTGCATCACAGACTCGATCCATTCAAACTCAAACTGATCTAATTACTAATGTAACCATTGAACGTTTTATTCGAATTTTGAATGGGGATAATGCTGCTGAATTTTCAAAAATCATTGATATTATTTTGAGTGGGTATGGTCGATTAGAGATTGATTCAAATACTTTTTTTGTTAAATTTATAATGGAGAAGAAATACAATTTTTGAAAAAAAAATATTTCTGAGATAATTCCAGCGGTATGTGTTCTAGCAACCATAAAACATGTTTTTTTTTAAAAAAATCAATTATAAATCATTAAAGAAATGCAACAGTATCACAAAGTTATAACATCATATGTTTAGCAAAACGCATCATGTTACATGAGCAACATAAATACAATAAAGTCCACACAAGACCGAGTTAGCTGATTGGATTGGCTTATTCATCAGTATTTGGTTTCCCTCATGGATAGAACGTCTCATATTTTTGTATACATGTGGATAGTTGTGTAGGCTTCGTCCAAGAGGATCTGCAAAAAAGATTTGACCACCAGCTTGAGCAAACAGTAACCAATGAGTTCCTGGCTGGTCTGAGTTTGATGCATTGACTATCATGAAAGTATGGTCGCGTTTCAATATTGTATTAAATGCTAAGTTAGCGGGAAAAATGCCACGAAATCGATGTTTCAAATGTTTGCATCGGTTAATAAGCTCAATAATCTGCAAATTGTCCATTTTTTCCCCAATTCAAATCATTAGAGTGTTTTTAGCTATTTTTCTATCGGAACGCACGTAAACTGTTGATGCACGCTCTCCCATGAAAAGTAACTCTACATTTTCCCCCAGCGGTGCATCAAACTTCAGTTCTACTGAAATGGTGCAATTGGTCAATTCAGGATGAATAAAGTCGTGTGAAGCCTCCTGAGTAGATGTGAGATCAAATGCCATAATATAATGATTGTGATAATTAGCCAAACTAATTCCATGACTATTGTTAAAAACAAAGTCTAGAGCTTCCAATGTGTTATAGTATATTCTTTTGTTACCAGTCGTTGACACAGGAGTTCCTGCAATGGGTAGGCCGTTTCGGTAAACAATGATTTCATTCAGCTGAAACTTTTGATAATGAAACGGGTTTGTTCGGTTAGTACCCAGGTATGCTGTATTCGAGCTCATTGTCAAAATCATTCGACGGACTGGCTCTTTGGCAAAAACGTCTTCTTGTCGCCAACTTTGCACACCAGTTGTGGCCAAAAAGGTTCTTGGTAAAACTTCAATATAATTGTATATTGCAGGTGTTTTCAACAGAGTTTTTTCTATCGATGATAGTACAAAATCTGTTACTGTCATTTTGCGCACATATAGGTTAGCCTCAGTGATTTGGACTTGGTAATGTTTAGTAGCGTGCTCAGACATAATAACAAAGTCATTAGGAGATCGTCTCAGAGAAAGTCTTATTGTAACACCGCTGATAAGATGTTTGTCGCATGATAAAAAATCACAGGCAATTTTACCAAATAATCGGAATTCGCTTGATGCTGCTACGATTCGCTTACGTTCAGCGACATCTTCAGCTCGCCCATTAGCACCATCAATACCTGATGGATTATCTTCATAATAATAGCCTTGACAAGCAA